CGCTCACATTTATGGCCGCGACCGCCGCTTCTGGAGGCGGCAGCTCCGCGTCGGCTTCCAGCTCCTGTGCCGCCGGGCCGCCGAGGAGATCCTGGCCCTGCGCTGACGTCCCCAAGGTCCCCGGGGTGTCCCCAAGGTCATCAGGATGTCCCCAAGGTCATCGGGACGTCCCTGCACTCCTCAAGATGTCCCCATGGATCTCAAGATGTCCCCATGGTCATCAGGATGTCCTTGTGGTCCTCAAGATGTCCCCATGGAACTCAGGATGTCCCCAAGGTCCTCAAGATGTCCCCAAGGTCATCGGGACGTCCTCATGGTTCTCAGGATGTCCTCGTGGTCCTCAAGATGTCCCCATGGAACTCAGGATGTCCCCAAGGTCATCGGGACGTCCCTGCACTCCTCAAGATGTCCCCATGGTCCTCAAGACATCCCGAAGGTCATCGGGATGTCCCCTGCGCTCCTCAAGATGTCCCCAAGGTCATCAGGATGTCCCCAAGGTCCTCAAGATGTCCCCAAGGTCATCAAGATGTCCCCAAGGTCATCAGGACATCCCTGCGCTCCTCAAGATGTCCCCATGGATCTCAAGATGTCCCTATGGTCATCAGGATGTCCTTGTGGTCCACAAGATGTCCCCAAGGTAATCAGGATGTCCCCAAGGTCATCGGGACGTCCTCATGGTCCTCAAGATGTCCTTGTGCTCCTCAAGATGTCCCCATGGACCTCAAGATGTCCCCAAGGTCCTCAAGATGTCCCCAAGGTCATCGGGACATCCCCTGTGCTCCTCAAGATGTCCCCAAGGTCCTCAGGATGTCCTCGTGTTCCTCAAGATCTCCTTGTGTTCCTCAAGATGTCCCCAAGGTCCTCAAGATGTCCCTAAGGTCATCAGGACGTCCTCATGGTCCTCAGGATGTCATCATGGTCCTCAAGATGTCCCCATGGAACTCAGGATGTCCCCTGTGCTCAAGATGTCCCCAAGGTCCTCAGGATGTCCTTGTGTTCCTGAAGATGTCCTCGTGGTCCTCAAGATGTCCTCGTGGTCCCCAAGATGTCCCAAAGGTCATCAGGACATCCTCATGGTCCTCAGGATGTCATCATGGTCCTCAAGATGTCCCCAAGTTCATCGGGACGTCCCTGCACTCCTCAAGATGTCCCCATGGACCTCAAGATGTCCCCAAGGTCATCGGGACATCCCTGCGCTCCTCAAGATGTCCCCAAGGTCCTCAAGATGTCCCCAAGGTCATCGGGACGTCCTCGTGGTCCTCAGGATGTCATCATGGTCCTCAAGATGTCCCCATGGAACTCAGGATGTCCCCTGTGCTCCTCAAGATGTCCCCAAGGTCATCAGGATGTCCTCGTGCTCCTCAAGATGTCCCCATGGAACTCAGGAGGTTCCCTGTGCTCCTCAAGATGTCCCCAAGGTCCTCAAGATGTCCCCAAGGTCATTGGGACGTCCCTGTGGTCCTCAAGATGTCCCCAAGGTCATCAGGACGTCCCCTGTGCTCCTCAAGATGTCCCCAAGGTCCTCAAGATGTCCCCATGGTCATCAGGATGTCCTCGTGGTCCTCAAGATGTCCCCAAGGTCATCAGGACGTCTCTGTGGTCCTCAAGATGTCACCATGGTCCTCAAGATGTCACCAAGGTCATCAGGACATTCCTGTGGTCCTCAAGATGTCCTCGTGGTCCTCAAGATGTCCCCAGTGTCATCGGGACGTCCCTGTGCTCCTCAAGGGATTCCCATCATCTCCAGGACGTCCCTGTGGTCCTCAGATGTCCCCAAGTTCTCCAGGATGTCCCCATGGTCCCCAAGATGGCCCCATGTTCTTCAGGACGTCCCCAAGATGTCCCCAAGGCCACCAGGACGTCCCCATGCTCCCCAAGATGTCCCCAAGTTCTTCAGGATGTCCTCAAGGCCACCAAGATGTCCCCATGGTCTCCAAGATGTCCCCAAAATCTTCAGGACATCCCCAAGATGTCCCCAAGGCCACCAGGACATCTCCATGGTCCCCAAGACGTCCCCAAGTTCTCCAGGATGTCCCCAAGATCTTCAGGAAGTCCCCAAGATGTCCCCAAGGCCACCAGGATGTCCGCATGGTCCCCAAGATGTCCCCAAAATCTTCAGGACGTCCCCAAGGCCACCAGGATGTCCTCAGTTGTCCCCAAGTTCTCCAGGATGACCCCAAGATGTCCCCAAGGCCACCAGGACGTCCCCAAGATGTCCCCAAGCTCTCGGGGACACCCCCGAGGTTTTTAATTGTTTAATTGCGTTTTTCTGAACGGTCCAATTAATAAATGGCAACGATTTATTGATATTTTTTTTAATTGTTCTTCCACCTCCCCTCCGTTGGTGGCGCCGGCGTCACCGCCGGCGTTGGGGACATGGGGACAAAGCGTGGGGGGCAGTGGGGTGGGGATGGGGACACAAAATCTGGGGACATCTGGATGGGCTTGGGGACATAGGGGTGGGGTTGGGGACACAGAATTTGGGGACAAGGATGGGGTTGGGGACATGGGGACAAAGAATGGGGACACGGGGGTGGAGGTGGGGACATGGGGACAAATATGGGGACATGGGG